CCACCCACCATCCATCCACCCACCCACCATCCATCCACCCACTCAACCAGCCACCCATCCACCCAGCCACCCATCCATCCATCCAGAATCAAAGTTGCTGAGTGCATGTACTGCAAGGATGGCCCATGGAGGAGTCCGCATGGGCTGCTGCCCTTGACGTATTCACAGCAGGAAGGGCAGAAATGCTCATACAGTGTGGCCAGGATGGTGAGGACACTGTTCAGGGTGAGGGTGACACCTGGAGCAAGTCTTGAGAGGAACGGGGTAAGTGTCCGAGGCTGGCTGGACTTCTGAAGCACAGTGACCCACCTGATGGTGGGGGGCTGCCCTTTCCCCCAAGGAGGCCCTTGGTGGCCACCTGCATAGCAGGGCCCTGGCCTAGTGGAGGGTCCTGGCCTACTGACTAGGCCCCTCCTGACCCCTCACCCAGGAGCAAACAGCGCTGCGTGCTTACTTGCTCACCCTCACACATCCCATTTTAAACCTGTGCAGGACATGGGAGGTGATGTGTGGCCTGGGTCTGCACACCCTATACCCCTGGTCTTTCAGAACCTTTGAAGCCCGTGAAGTGGCCATACTTGTGATGTCAGAGTCTGCCTGGGGAGGGATGGGCATGGCTGGTGTTAGATTTGCTCCCTCGAATCCCCGGATTCTCACCCGAGAATAGGTCTGGGCCCTGGCCACCCTGCCCCCATGGATGGCTGGGGCTGGGAGTCATGGCTTCTCTTGGTACTACTTCCATCCTCCCACCAACGTGGGGCCAGAGCCATGGCACTGGGATCAGGCAGCCAGCCCCCAACCTCATTAAGTCTAGCTGGCTGGGGGCTGTGTGGCCTGCTCCTGGCGAGGCTTGGCTGGGGCTCTGTGGTCAGCAGGGCAGGTGCTGGGCCAGCTGCACCTCCTGCTCTCTGAGACTCTGGCCTAGAGACTGAGACACGAGATGCTCAGTGACTCAGTTTCCCCTTCGGTGACACAGGTTAATAATGAGACCAACCACTGGGGTCATGGGGAATGGCCTGAGATGACACATATGGCCGAGATGTGGTAGCCTGCATTTTCCAGAAGCCTCCATTTGAGTAACCGGCCACGTGGGCCATGTGGGGGCCAGCCCAGCATGGTGGACAGAGTGGCTGTGGGGATGGTGTTTGCAGAGCTGCAGCATGGGCTGGTGGGGTGCTCTCCACAAAGCCGAGCCCACGACTATCTCCCACCCTTTGGGGGGGTTTGGGCCATGCAGGGTGTGTTAGGGTTCTGCAGGGAAACAACCAACAGGGTGCGTGTGTGTGCGCGTGTGTGCATGCACGTATGTGCATGTGTGCGTATGCGTGTGTGCACGTGTGTGCACGTGAGCCATTGGTTCACGTGATCGTGATTGTAGGGCCTCCAGTCTGAGACCTGCGTGCAGACCCGCGGGCTGCACACCGAGGGAGGGTTGATGCTGCGGCTGGAGTCTGAAGGCTGTCGGGGCGGGGCGCCGGTGCCCTGTTTCCCGGGGGGCCTTGGGTTTCTCTCTCGGCCTTTGACTGATTGAGTGAGGCCCACCCACAGCAGGAAGCATCACCTGCTCACATCTGAAAACCACCTTCGCAGTGGCATCTAGACTAGGTTTAGCCAAAGCCTGGTACCACGGCCCAGCCGAGCTGACACACCACTGGCCACCATGCGAGGGACAGAACGGCGGGCTGGGGTCATACCTGCCGTCCTGGCCCCCCCTGGCAGGTGTGGGCCCCTCTTCTCTCCCTCACCAGCCTTCGTTCCTTCCTCCCCTCCTCCTCCCTGTCCTCTCCCTCTTTCCTCCTCCTCCTCCTTCCTCCCCACCCCGGCTTCCTGATGAGTCAGGCTTGTGGACACACAATGGTGGGACAGTCACTTGAGGCACCCGCCTGACGTCTGCCCCCTCCCTGCAGGGGCTGTAAATTCCGTGTGGCCCTTGGCAATGGCGTCTTGTCAGGGCAGACGCAGCGGGTGTGGGGCCGGGCCAGGGTGGCCAAGGGTGCCAGGATCCTGTCCCCAAGTGGGGAGTGCTCCGAGCCGAGCCCTGGGTGGGCAGTCAGCTCCCCGCTCGGTGGTGTCCCCCTGAGGCTGGTGGCCATCATTCCCCCCCTCGGCCACTGCAGCCTGGCCGCACAGAGCGGCACCACCAAGCAGGTCCTCGAAGTGGCCGAAGCCCCCACTCTCCCTCCACCTTGGGCCCCTTGTGTCCCTGTGGGAACATTGCAGGGTGGTGGGGGTTCCTCCAGGACGGTGGTGGCCGCCACCCTCCCGGCGCACAGAAGACAGCCATTGCCTTGTGTGTGTATCTCGCGCTGCTCTGGTGGAATCTTAGCGTCTCAGCCTTCTCTGCCCGGACGACCTCGCGGCTGGCCGAGGCTCAGACGGTGGGGGTGCGGGTCGGGGAGGCTCTCACTCTGGGGGCAGTAGGGGAGACTCTGGTCACCTTGGCCTGATCGCCCCTCCCCGCCGTCTTCCCCAGCACGAGGTCCCTGGACCCCATTAGCAAGTGCAGGGGCCTCTCTGCGCCCGGCCCCATGCTGGGCCACCTGCCGTTGAGCTCGTACGGAACACTGCTGTGGGCCAAGAGGGGGTTAGGGTCAGACCCTGGGCCTGGGCCCCACCACTGACCACCCAGAGGATACTCAGGGGTCACCTTAGATCCGGAGGACCCGTCTCCTCAGACCCGGGAGGACCCATGTCCTCAGACCTCGGGGCAGGAGGGGCTGCGCTGGGCCTTCTGTGCCCATTCGGCTTCCCCAGCCCCACGAGGAGGGAGCCTGGCTTGGAAAATCACTGCCCTCGGGGCCTCTCGGGGGCCTGTCCTTGGGTTTCCCCGGGGCTGGGTGCCAGCATGTGGAGTCTGCCCAGGGACGTGGCACAGTGGTCCTGCTCCGGCTCTCCTGGCTCCGGTTCCCTGACCTGTGCTCCCGCTGGCTCGGCCTCATGCTGGGCCTCCCCCATGTGCCTAGGCCCTGGAGAGAGGACAGACTCCAGGGCGGGCACAGCAGGAGGGGACGAGGGCTCCTGGGCACCTTTGTCCCTGATGTCTTTGCAGGGTGGGGCCCCTCCGTGGGCCTCGGCCCTTGGCTGTGGTGGAGACGCACTCTGCGGCGGCCCAGGGGCCTGAGTGGGAGGTGGCGTCAGAGCAGGGCTTGGAGCAGCACTAGGGAAGGCCTGGTGCAAGCAAGCGACACCGACTGTGTGCAAGCTTCACTGACTGTGTGCAAGCAAATGTCACTGACTGTGTGCAGGAGCCGTCCCGGCAACAGGGAGGTCAGGGGAGGGGCCTGGCGCCCCAGCCCGGAATCTGCACCCTGTCGGAGGCATCTTCCCCACCCAGCGCTGCATGCGGTGCTGCGTCGGAATTGGGGTCCCATATTCCACGCTTGCTCGCCGCCCTCGCCGAGGCTGGAAACTGAGCTCAGGAGCGCGTCTGTTTTGGGAACGCAGGGTGTGGAGGGGACGTCCCCTGACAGCTCGCCCACCAGCTGCAGGGCGGTGCCCCCCAGGCTGGCCGCGGGCACTGGCGCGCCGGTGGTCGCATGTCTGAGGCTGGTACAAGCCTGCATGCCACATGGTTCCTCAAGGCGTCTCCAGACAATGGGGGGACTGTGGCCTGCGCTCGGTGGGGGGCACAGCGGTTCTGGCAGGGCCCCCCCCAAAGTGAGAGCTGGCAGCTGCCCCACCCTCGGCCCCTGGCCTGTGGTGCCCACACGGTCCCAGGAAGAGCAGCGGACGACCACTCCCCGCTGCAAGCCAGTTCCCCCGGATTCCGGCGGCTGTGCTCTGGCTAGGCGGGCGCTCCCCGAGTTCCAATTACATGTAATTCCGGAGACTGGCTCAGCCCAGGGAGGGAGGGGATTAGAGGGGCTGGGACCTCTGGCAGAGCTCAACGAGCTGCCCACGGGGGTCGGCGCGGCCTCCCGGACCCCACAGGAGCCCACATCCTCCCTGTCCTCAGGAGGCCTCTTGCCAGGGTGCAAGTGGCTGCCCCTGGCCCCGACCCAGGCTTGGGTGCCTGGTCGGGGGGCTGGTGCCCAGAGAGTGACACGAGCCTGAGCAGGCCTGGGGGGCCTGTGGCCGTCTCAGCCCACACTGCTCGGCAAGGGGGAGCGTCCGGAACAGGAGACAGCAGCAAACGCGGGGCAGGGAGCCACCCAGGAGCACCTCATTTGGCCTGGGCTCTGCTGGGGGCGCTGGCTGGCGTCTGGGGGGTGTGGGGGGGCTACGGAGCCTGGCAGGACATGCTTTTGGCTGGACGCCCCTCCCCTGGCCCCGCAGGGCCTGGTCCCGCTAGGAGCTGGGAGAGACCGGAGCTCCCCTTTGGGCGTGTGTTAGGTTAGGGGGCTGCTGCCAGTTTACCTGGGAAGCTGTAAAGAGATAAACCTCAGATAACCTGAGTCAATATTTCCCCACAGCTGTTTTCTAGATAATCTGGCAAACGCCCCACCCACCCCC